AAAGTGGTCTATATAGACCCCCAGGGGTCTATTTAAAAAAAGCGGGGGTCGAATGGGGGTCGATCCGAATTGGAAGGGTCGAAGAAAAAACAGTTCTTAATATGCAAATCACACATACCTGATTGAGTATGAAAAATTTGCGAATTTTTTTATAATTGACTTAATATCAGTTTCTTCATAAAACATAAATTAATAAACTTATTCGGGTGAAACAAGTATTTACATACCAGCGTGCAATGGCACGAACTAAGCACAGTTTATAAGTCAAACGCATATGTGCGCTTGTCCAAATGTCACGTGTGACGAGCATTGACGTTACAGACGCAAATATCATACTCAGGTTCAGCTATCTTTGCAAATTGTGAACAGCGTTGAATATTTGCAGTGTCATTATTAAAACTTTCATAGTTTTGGATAATCAGTTATTGTTTTGATAAAACCATTCGTTTAGTATAGATATCAATTTTAATTATCAATGCATGCAAAAAAATGAAGGTAAGCATTAATAATATGGATTAGTACAGCCCGCAGCAAAACTATAACACACTTTGTATTTTTTTTACAAAATTGACCTATTTTGACGAAAATTAAAATTGACCAATTTTGAACCCAATATAGCGAACCTTGCAAAAAAACACCAGGCACACCCATCTCATTGATTAAGAAGCAAGAAATCTGTAGTTACTTTACTTATTATTTCTACTTATTCATAATTGCATATTATTTAATAAATATTAAGGTATTTAAATTTGAACATTAATATATTTTTCATAAAACTATTGTTACACAATGTACTATTACTTTAATAAATGGTTAAAATCGCAAAATAAATGTGCAAACACGGTATCTAATAGAGTTTTATTTTAATTAACAGAAAATTACTTTTATGGGGGTCGATGAAGATTTCGAAAAATTATATAGGGGCCGATGATCAAAAAAGTTTGGCGACCCCTGCGTTAGCATATGCAGTTCTGCTTTGCAAGTTTGCAAATAAAAAAAATATTTAAAAAAGTATTTTACTTAAGTTAATATAAGTACATCAAATAAAAGTTATACTAATTTTGGAACTTTTATTTCCTTTTATATCTAAAAATTTCTCAGATCAAAATATTGGTGAAGCCACTAGCAAGTAGCCACTAACAATATTTTTGTTGCATTTATAGAAACACTTGGTTTTGCCTAATTCAGGGAGTGGAGGGGGGGGGATCTAAAACCTGACATTACTTTTTCTCCTAAAGCTACAGATTTTTTTAAAATGACATTTTTAGTCCATTTTTTGTCAAAATGTACAAGTTTGAAAACATTATATATAGCAGGTCGTTGCGTAAATGTTGACTCCAGTTTGACATATTTCTAGGGCTTGTCAGGGCACATAATCTGGATTAATAATGCAAAGGAACTTCATGTCTTGAAGAGCCATCGTACATGGCTAAGAGAGCTTCTTTGTTATCAACTGTTGAGAAAAGCATGAAGAAACAGCTCATAATGAGAAAGCGTCTCTAGCGGCGTATGATGACATTTCCGGATTTAGTTTCCTACGCAGTTTTAATTCAGATGATACGCTCTAACTTCCCTAGAAATCTGTCGTCAAGAAATTTAACGTTTTTAAATTTGTACATTTCGTCAAAAAATTCATTTTAAGAACAATCAGTAGCTTGGAGAGGTGAATCGATTGCAGATTTGAAATCAATGATTTGAAAGTATCCGAGATTTGTTAAAAAAATCTCATGCTACAGAGAAAAAAAATTGCTCCCCTGTGTAATTAAAACTAAAAACTTAGTGGTAGTGATACGTAAAAAACACACTATAACTATTTCGAATTATTAAAGCATGTGAAGCTTAGTGGTATTAATATTCTAGGTAACTCATCGTAGATTCCATTTTTTTAGATGCAAACATAGATTACTTTAAGAAAAAAATCATTTATAGACACAGGAATGATGCTATTTCTAAAAAATATATTTGCAAATTTTAATATGATAAGGACGGAGACGACTATAAACATTTTTTAAGAATTCCCCCCCCCAAAAAAAATCAATGATTAATTTAAAAATATCTTGTATTTTTTTTAGCCCTTTGTCAGTCGGTGTCGCATCTCATAGAAAAATATCATCTTTGAAATTGAATTCGTCCCAACTACATGTCTCTTGAAATCCCATGATCACTTTTGTATTTCTGAATATTGCTAAGAGATGGCGTAACAAGTCCCACTTTCTTCACTATTTTTGCAGTGAGATTTTCCTCCTCACATTGAAATCAAAATCATTTTTTATTTTCTGTAATTTCGCTTTCATCAGTGTTACCGTTTGCATGTCGAAATAGTTATGATGCATTCAGAGAGTGAGTCCGAGGACAGTGAATTTATTATCCCTCAGTCGGAAGCCGTGGTTTATCAAGTGAAAATTATTTTTAAAAATATTTTTCTACCTAATTTTAATAATTACTATATGCAGAGATTAGCCTTAAACACCTTAAAGCAATAGAGCTAGTAAATATGTTATCACAGTGTATTTGCTTGAGATAAAACTTGGGTGCATAGCAGAGAAAACTTGAGATCAGTGGACTGGATATCACATATTTCACTCCCAATAGGTCAAGCAAAAAACTGCCTAAGGACAAAAATATTTTGAATTTTCGAATTTAGGATAGAACTTATTAGTTTTTGGCATTAATTTTTTTGGGTGGGGATCAAAAATTTGAAAAATCTAAGGACATGTAAATATTAATTATATTTAAAAATTAGACAACCAACAGATTTGATTCCAGCAGATTTGATTTGACTAGATTGAGACTTACTGCTAAACAAGTCATATTAACGATGAGAAGTAACCGTAATTTAGGAAGGACACATATTTTAATTGGTAATGAAAAACAATAAAATTTTAAGGGGTACGAATTTATTGAATTATAAAACGTTAGTAATGTGATAATTTCCACTATTTTTTAACAGTAAATCTAATTTAATTAAAATGAGTTTGAAGTATCCAAAAAGCTAATAAAAAATTAATTAATTAACAAAGTCGGCCAAATTTTATAAATAAATAGCACAATAATTAGTCTGAAATAATCTCACAATATCACAAAGAGCTTAATGTGGATATGTCCACAGTAACAAGAACCATTTGTTCATCCTAGCCTTATGGAGCCATCATTGGTCAACTTAAAAGAATGTTATTCGAAAGTAACTATTGAAAAGTGAGTTTAAGAATATTCAAGAGTTTATTTTTATCTCTAGAAGTATTTCTATTATGTGCCACCATAAACTCGTTATATTTCTCAATATATTGGCAAAACTACAGTTATATTATTTATTTTGTTAGAATATATTAAGTAATAATAATTAAATCCGTTCTAAAATGGCTACAGATATTTTAAACATAAGCGATGCTATGGTGCTGCATATTGTCTTACCAATTATTGGCAAACGAAGCTTGCCTTTCCTGAACAATAGATGCTATGGTACTGCATATTGTCATACCGATTATAGGCAAACGAAGCTTGCCTTTCCTGAACAATAGAAGCTATGTTGCTGCATATTGTCATACCAATTATTGGCAAAGGAAGCTAGTCTTTCTTGAACAATAGCTTGTGTATATTATTATTACGATACTCAAGTTATATGGCTCCAGATGTGAGGAAGTAGTACAACACGTAGTGGAGCTTTGGGATGAGTTGTCTATCTTATCTCACGACAGAGATAGAAATAATTTCAATACTTCTGCTGCCAAAACTATACTGAAATGTCCTGAACTCATGCTTACGGTGGTTTCTGTGATTTAATGCCTGTCAGGGACAGCGTAACTGGGTGCATTAAACCCCTCACATTTTCTAAACGAAACCCAGTCCCTTTTAAGATTACAATTCATAATTGTGTCATTAAATTCACAATTTTAAAAAAATAGATAATTTTTTTTGTGTCCGAATTCAAAAAAAAAAAATTGTCTCTATTTCAAGCGAGCTTTAACATTTTCCTGTTGGAAACAACTACCAAATAATCCCTTACTCATTTCTCCGCAGAGGAAATATAACAAATTTACTATATCACTGTCGGACAAATTTTGAATTATCACTGAAATTCAACACATAAAGTACATTGACAATAAATACAACGGACATCTCTTGGAAAACAGGTAAAATTGAAATTAAAGAAATTCTGGGAGGACAAAGTGATACGATGAAAAGAGTATTGGTTAATATATTGTTTAAACTAATTAAGTTCTTGCAAGAGGAGAAGGGGGTGAATAATATTTAAATACAGAGCAGTGGTTGCTCAGAGAATAGAGCTTTTGCCCCCAATGATAAGGTGAACTTTGAGCCCATTGAGGTGAACAGGGTTCGAAACCCAGCCATGGCTGATTGATACGAATTCCGCACTCGGTTCGCACTGTCCACATTGCTGATGTCAGTGGTAGACGGATCATGGTTCAGAGTCTCTTTGCTGTAGGCTAACCATGGGAGATTTTCCACTCCATGTAATGCAAATGCGGGTTAGTTCTATCAAAAAGTCCTCCACGAAGACCAATTTCTCCCAATACTTGATCCAGGAAATCTCTGGATTGGGTTTAAAATTAGAAGGCTACGGAGTTGAACATTAGTGGTCATAATCCCGAAATTGGGTCTGCTGTTCAACGAAGCTTATAAAATAAAATAATTAGATACAGTTGTGATGTGCATTCGGCTTGTATGCCATTAAAGTTTATACTTTGTACAAGATAATTTTGAAAGTTGAACAAGCTGGTTGACAAAGGCGGTTAAATATTGAATATGATTTAAAAAGCAAATAAAGAACTAAGATTTCAGCATGAATACTATTTATAAATTCATACATCTAAAAGTGTAAAATAGTTATTCGAATCTATAAAATTAACAAATGAAATTTTGACTGGTTTTTCTGCTTTTTCGACGTCAGCTCCATGACCACACGTAATTCTTTTCTATGAAACAATGTATGTCTATAAAACAGTTTTTCATGTATATTAGTTGTAACAAAAGTCAACCACTAAGAAAGACATAAAGTTTATTTATAAACTGACATTGATTTATACAATAGTGTGAAGTATACAATTTTACTGAGACAATCGAACATACATGCTTGTATTTTTACCTGGAGACATAGGAAATAAATCTAAGTCATAGAGTCATGTCTGAATAAAGTATTTTGTGACTTAAAGTAGTATATATAGAACAAGGATAAGAATTATTATCTATTGGTTATAATATATGAAAATATAGACTAGACTGAGAAACACAAACGATACATGAAAATTCAAACTAGGTGAGATAAAGATTCAATATTTATTTTGTCTATTATATACTTATATGATTACTTTTAATTATAATGTATCAGAATATATCAGTTGAATATTTTAGTATAATCAATTTAAATAAAGTAATATTCAAAATTGCACCTTCTACAGTTGTTTTATATATGAAATTCAGGTTTAAATGTGTATGAGAGCTAAAAGTATTTTAATTGTTAAGTTCTAGCAGTTAAATAAGAAAATTATTACTATGAACATACATTAGGTATTTTTAGAATGCGGAAATATTTGTTAATTGTTTTGTGTTTGTAGCACTTTTTAAAACGTATTTACGTTGTTTTTTACTTTGAAGCATTGCTTTGAGCTTACTACCGTTGTTTCAAAGTTACACTGTAAACAATTCCGGTACAAACTATGGTAGAAAATACCGGCATTCTGGGCGCCGGTACTTTTTACCGGAGAACACACGTTTACCGGAACATGTTACGAAACAACAATATGATATACCGTAATTTTTACAGTAATATCACAACATTTATAGTAATTATCGCAAAGTTACTGAATCACTAATTAAATAAATATTACTGTATAAATTACGGTATAATATTTTAAGATAAAAATGAATTTCCCGTATGATGCCAGTACTTTATACTGTAATTTAAGCCGGAATTTTTTTCAGTGCAGTTGAGCTTGTCCAACATTTCAAACTGTACATTTTTGAAGATAATTTGTATTCGTGACGAATAAAATTGGAAAAGTCATTATCACCATTTAATTAAATATGGATACAAAAAAAGATTTAGAAATGATCGAATATATTTTTAAATTCTGTAATAATTTACAGGCTAGATAAATTTAAACAAGTTAGAAAATTGTAAGAAAGTACTATTAAAAGGAGAACGCTTTACATTAGAACACCAATTAATCATATTATTTGGAATCATACAAAATTCGAAAAATCAAATGAGTGAAATAAATAGTTTTAACCGTAGGGAATGAAATCGACTTAACTTATTGTGTCAACTTAATGGATAAAAATAAAATTTGTTTTAGGTCTGCTGAAGGCGCATCAAAACCTAAACTTCAACTGACTGATGCCCATACTATGCTGGAAACCGTAGTATTGTTTGTCAATATAAAGAACTCCCTTAGCCATTCACCTGGAGTGGTAGTTGTGATGGTTACGATATTTAACTATTTCAAGTAGGGTCATTATTTAAGACAGGTTTTGACTCTGGTTGGCGAGATAAAGGGAATCAGGGAAGAAAGAAGCTCCCCTTTTTAAAATGAGATATTTCTTGTTTCCATAGCAGCAGACGGCCTTAGACTGCATGGTAAAGGGAGTTATTTCTATAGACAAACTACAACTATAGCTACTTAAAATGATTCAGATAGTTGGTGATTCTTATAACTGGAAGTCATTTAATTTAAACTCCACAGTAAATGTTGAAAAAGTTAATGCTAAAATATTTAAATTTTTTGAGTTTAATATATTCGACATTTTTTTAGAGAAACTGATTTTTATGGCTAGCACCAAAAACATGTTTGCAATGTAAAAATATTTTGTGACCCATAAGTCGATCTTACATAACTATTTTGCTTTTTGCATTTTATATTGAATTCTTAAATTAACGTTGTATATTTTAGTATTACATTAAACACAGAAATTAAATTAAATTAGGCAAAGTGTAAACGAAAGAGATACATATGTTTGACAACAGTATTCATTCAAATTTTATATGATAACTTTGAAAAAAAAACGACACAAAGAATGATTGCATATAAACAATGAGTGTTATACTAATGTATCTAAAATATTTCCTCCGTCGTCACTGCTGCTATGCATAGAGCTCAAACCTGTATCTGAATTGCTATCACCATTTTCTGGTGCTTCACAGGAAGCAGTTCGATCCATTGATATCACTTGTATAGCAGAAAACTCTTCTTGCAGTCGTGCATTCTCTTGGTCTAATCTATCAAGATCAGATTTTAAATGTTGCAAGTAGTAATGCTTATCTTGTATTATCTTTGTACAATCTAACAAGGTTTTTTCATTTTGTTGGATTGTTAATTGTTGTGTTTGGTTTATCCTCAACAACCTCTCTATATCGTTTTTAGTTCGGTGTAAGATCTCCTCTAACCTTTCCGGACCAGCAAACGCTAGTTCAGGGTCCTCATCAAGAAGTTTGCAATTCGTATCACTGTCTTTTTTTTCAAGACTCTGCTGAATTTTCAGAGTTAGATCTTTAATGGTCAGTTCCTCTTGATGCACCCTGTCCCATATTAGAAGAACCTTTTGGTAAAGTTCGATGCAATCATCTAAAGTATCACAGACATCAGTGGTAGATTGTTTTTTAGAATCACTAGGAGTTTCGTTGCTAGTGGCAGTGTTAACATTAGCCGCCTCACCTTCACTGGAGTCAGCTAAGTACGTATCGAGGACGTAATTGGCGCCAATTTGGCGCATCCGCTGCGTATGGATTCCGTTCTCAATGACTTCAATCTCCTCATCTTTGTCTCGCAATTTCCTAACTTGAGATGAAATAGCATCACTTTGGGAAGCAATGAGATTTCTGAGTTGGTCTTCCGTTGCTGGAAAGTGTTCATCGTTGTCCAGACAACAAGCGACACTTCCGTCATCCTCAGATTCTGATCGAAGTTTACGAGGATGCCAAGTTTTTGTAGATTTGGAATTAACCTTCCGCCGGTGCGATTTAACGTCACGTGGGGTGGAACCCGAAGTTTGAGCGTGGTGCGCTCTCTTCAGGAGGAATCGAACGTTGCATTGCTCCAGACCCCAAGTGTTCCACACTTTAAGGAGCCGGGAGCGCGGATCCAGAGGTTTTTCCACTTTGTGCCAACGTTCCACTATGACGTAATGTTTGTAATCACGATGTGATTTGCTACCGCTTTTGTGATGGTGGAAACTTTCGTTCGCTAATAAAACAGCTTTGATAATGTCTTCACAAGTCGTTTGTTTAGAGACTCCTGTCACCCACTTTTGAAGTCCACCTATCCAGAGTGGAATATCTGTGCCCATTCCTTTCTTTCAACATCCAGTATGAAACCTACAATAACAGAAAAAAAAACAATGTTATTTGTATGAAGAAATACAAAAATGTTATTTTATTTTTTAATTTTTATTTTTTATTATTTTTATTTTTTAACACTATAATTTTTTGGACAATACCACTCAACTGATTTAACGTTATTTAAAAATAAAGGGAAATTTCATAATTAACATCGAATAGTTGAATGATTGCTTTCATTACTTTTCGAATCTCAATAAATCATAAATCATATCTCAATAAATCATAAACATGAATATTATTATTTCAGACATAACAGCGTATTTAATTAATTTAATTTTTTACAATTCCATTTACATAGTTACCTGTAGTTATTTTCAACATACATATTAGTAATGTTAAATAATGAAGCAAAAACACGAGACAGTCCGTTTTGAAGAATCGTTAGGAATTCAACATTTCAACATTTCAACATTTCAACATTCAACACATTTCAACATTTGCAGATGTACGCAAAATTCCCTCATGGACAAAAAAATTAAAGGAGTCGTCAAAATGAAACGAAATTTTACATACGCAATGACTACTTTGATATAAATAAATGGTTTAGAAAATCAAAGAAAAACGATAACCTTTGATTTTCTAATCATTTACTTATATCAAAGTAGTCATTACGTATGTAAAATTTCGTTTCATTTTGACGACTCCTTCTTGGTTCTCTAATTTTTTTGCCCATGAGTGTATTTAACATTAATCACTTTATAATCCTGAAATGATATGCTGCACAGTCTTATGCATAAGAGAGTTTCATTTTATTGCAATACGTTTTATGCAAATATTTAATGAATTTGGACTTATTTCAACGAACAATGCCTCATTTATCACAGATAAATTTTATCTAATAATAAAAATTGTGTAACATAATTTATTTAACAATATAAAGCACTTTGCATTTAGGACGTTTCTAATTTTATATTAAAAAGAAGAAAATGAGTATAGTTTAAAAACAAGTAGACCCTAAAGGAAAGGAAAATAACGTACCAATTTATACACATGTTAATTTTCACATTACTTTTAAATTGAAACTTAAGATAAAAATTATCCTATTAATCAAAATCATATAAGATGAAAAATAATTAATAGGATAACTCTTCTTAAAACTCCATATTTTGAGAGCTGCTACAATCTCTTATTGTTCTAGAAGGCAGAACATATTTAAATACTTGTAGGAGGTGCACGCAATACACATTTCTGATCAAACCGTTACAATTAACCTTCCAGAAAGATAGGTGTAAGATATACTGATATGAATTTAGTTTTGTATTTTTAACTCTGAAAGCTAGTCTTTGGTTATTCCTTTGCCTCACAAAGTCAATATTGTTTGATGTTGCTCAAACTTACACAAATTTGCTTTAAACGCTACTCTGCAACGAAAATTTAATTTAATAAGAGATAAAATTTCTCCTTGTTTTCTTTTCTTTTAAGGTTTAAAAAAACTCTTTAAAATAATTTTTATTATTAATCTTAGGCTAATTTTTAGATTATTTTTAAAATTTATACTCTTTAAAAAATTTTTGACAACAGCATATTAAATAAAAATGTTGGTATGATATGCATGGCAGTTGGCAGGTAAGGTAAATTAATAAATTGTTTATACTTTTTTAGCAATAAGGTTAATGTATGGAAATAAAAATAGGATAATACCGCAGTAAAAACATTCATTCTGTTTACATATTCATAAATAAGAACTAAATATACACGGAGAAAGAATTTTTGTTAAAATTACCGTGCTGTAGGGTAAGGACATTTCAGGTAAAAAAGATTTCGTTCATAAAGTCTGGTTAATGAAATCAAAATATACGGTATTTAAACCATTCATTTGTTCATTTGGTAAATTTTCAGTTCATATGGTAACTGTTTATCGGAAGTGCTGGATTTTAAAATTATAGTTATTACCACACATTTATTAAAAAATACAAAATAGAAAGGTAAATTTAACCGAATAAATGGGTTTTACGCCAAGATCTAAGGAATTATACAAAAATTACCGAATTTCACCACATTTACCAAATTTTATCACATACAGGGTGCGTAGCCAAATTATTCAATAAAAAATAAGCACCTTTTAAGCTCTTTTCAAGCACTCAAAAAATATTTTTAAGCAATTTAAAAAAATATAATTAAGCAGAGTTGGAAAGTTTTTGACAATTGGCGGTTTTATCTTGTTTTAACCGTCATGTCAAACAAAAAAACTGTTGGCATTGTTTTTGACAATTGTCAAAAACCATAAAATTTTGAATCATGTAAAACGAATGGCGTTTTCAATCGCTACGAATGCCGAAATAGATTGTGATTGAAGTAACTGTGAAAATGTTGAATCGAACAATGTGAAATGGGTCTTATTCCATAATTCGAAGCTAAAATCAACATAGTAAAGGAAAAATCTCATTCTGAAAAAGGGAAAATTAAGCATTTTTTAAAAATACCCATTGAAAAAAAGCACATTTGAGGAATTTTAAAAATGAAAATCGAAAATAAGCACCTTTTAAATAATGAAAATCGAAAATAAGCACCTTTTAAAAATGAAAATCGAAAATAAGCACCTTTAAGCACTTTTTAAAAATGCACCCTTTACATATTATAGTACCATATTTTATTGTTAACTTTACCAAAAGCCATTACCAAAACGCTTCGTAAAAATTACCGAGATTTTTGGTGTTCCTTTAAAGCCAAAAATACTTTCGGTAAATTTTACTTTATTCTGGTAGCTTTGGTCCTGCTTTTTTTCTCAGTACACAGATACTATTTGGATTTGTTTTTTTAATTCCTAATAGCCAGTTATTAGCAAGAAAAGAAGGAAAGAAGGGGAAAAAAATAAAGTAAATAACAAATGAAAAACCCTGGCTTTAAAATTCCGCAAGGAGAAAGAATTCCAGTAGTCAATCGTTGTTCACCAAACAATTCATCTTGATCACTGATAAGTTCGTTGCCCTCGATCACACCCGTGAAAACAATAGTTTAAAGCTCAAATATGATGTATTTGGAAACAATAGCATGATCAAGAACTGTTCGTGAAGCATTTTCTCCCCTGATATTCTTTTATGGTGGTCAAAAAGATTAATTACTCACTCAATATAAAGGCAGTTGATTTATGGATTTTGGCAATATATTTGAAATGAAAGAGAAAAATAAAATTCTGAAAGGCACGGAATAAAGATCTTTCGAAAATAAACTCTATCATTATTTTTTAATAATCACGACGATTTGTGAAATTTGTTGCAATTGTGATTATTTTCATTATTTTTTCATAACCTCGTCGATTTGTGAACTTAAGGGGAATACATTTTTTGTAATTGTGACTATTTTCATTATTTTTTAATAATCTTATCGATTTGTGAACTTATGGAGAATAAATTTGTTGTAATTGTGATTATTTTCCTTATTTTTTAAAAATCGCGTCGATTTGTGAACTTATTGGGAATAAATTTGTTGTAATTGTGATTATTTTCATTATTTTTTCATAATCTCGTCGATTTGCAAACTTATGCGGAATAAATTTGTTGTAATTGTTATTATTTTCATTATTTTTTAATAATCTCGTCGATTTGCGAACTTATGGGGAACAAATTTGTTGCAATTGTGATTATTTTCATTATTTTTTTAATAATCTCGTCGATTTGTGAACCTATGGGGAATTAATTTGTTATAATTGTGATTATTTGTTTAACTGAAGGAATTTTTTTTAATAAAGTTGAATGCGTGTAAATAAATTGAATACTTTAAACATAATGTATAATTATTTGTTTCCCTTTGTATAAATAATTTGCAATTATTATTATTTAAAAATTTTAACCATTAAAATTTGCTGTTTAAAGTTAATACTTTGCATATAGTAAAACTTATATGCGTTAGTAATTAAAATAACTAATTTTTAAAGTTCATACTTTGCGTATAAGATGAGTAAGAAATTATTTTATTCACAATGCAAGGTTTTTCAATATTACATGACTAAAATGAAATTGTAAAGCAGGCATACAAAAAGAATTTGAAATCCATCTCGAACATAATGTCTCAGACATTTTCAGGAGCAGCTACACTGTAAAAGTTTCGGGATTACAGTAAAAAGTACTAGCACTGAAGGAGCCTGTACTTTTTACAAAATCTATTTTTACAGGAACATGTTACAAAACCAAAAAAAAAAAATTATATAGAGTAATTTTTACGGTAATAATTACCGAGAAATTAATGAATCACTTCAAGTACAAAAATTACGGTATATTATTATACGGTAAGAGAGGATTTTACGATGAAAGGGATTTTACGGGTGATGCACACAATGTGCTGGTACTTTTACCGTGATTTGATCCGGAATTGTTTTCAGTATAAAGTGCTGTAAACTATACGTAAAATATTATGATTCCGAACAAAAAGAATTCTACACCGTTTTATTTATACTGCTTTTGAACACTTATTACACATTTACGTTTAATACTACTTGCAACTTTACATACATTTTTACCAGACATCTAAGACGCATTGTGTCTCACCTTCTCTAACACATGAACGTACTATTTGCAACCTTTAGTTATTCTGGATTGTGTTTTTATCTCCAAGAGCATTTGTCCTAAGTGGAGATAATGTTTGAGTTTGAACTTTTTACAGAACATATTTCTGCAGTTTTAAAAAATAACGCATTGTGAAAAAAACTATGTGTTTGCAATGTTTCAATATGATAAATAACAAGATATAGTTAGACATTTATAAAATTATACTTAATTGTAGTAAAACAAAAGAAACATGAATGCAAGAGAATACTCTGTATGGAACACTTCTTCAGGAAACACTATGTATGCATTAATGAGTAAGCTTTTCTGTGAATTTTCTGAATTGTGCGCGAAATTGTGAATTCTGTGACTGTGAGTGAGTGAACTGAGAGTGAAATTGTGAATTCTGTGAATTTTTAACTTTTCTGTTTAACAAAACAAAACCTTTATCTGCGTCTTGAAGACTTATTTTTAAAAAAATACGATAAAATATAG